GGGGGGTGTATATGGGGGGGTATGGGGGGGAATGATGTGGGCAATAGTAAAACTTTACAAATTTTATTTCATGCAAGTTTCTCTTCCTGATTTAGTAATTATTTTTTTCTGCGATAGTTGTGCGTTTGCCTTGGTTGGAATCTGCTCTGCTTAAGCATCTTAAGAAAATTTGCAAGAGGTTGACTTTGTTGCTTGTTTTTTTCTCAACATGTAGACTTAGAAGGGGGTTTGCCAGGTTTATACCGTTCTGATTCTGTACATTTGTCAGATGTTGGACTCAATATTTTCAATTTAGGTCTTCAAACGGCAATGGAATTGGGTAGCTACCAGTTTAGTTTTATAACAATACTGGCTTGTGGAATGGTTTTCTATTTATAATATAATTTTGGTCTGAGTTATGGTGACGAAGCCTGGTGTGTTATGTTGAGTTTGAACTGTTGGTGCGCGCTCTCTTGTCTGTTGACATGCAGCTCTGCCACCTATAATAGAAGAAACAGAAAATATGTTAAATCGGTTGCTGGAAGCTTTTGGTCCATTTTGACATAATTGCATGACACAATCCTTGCATATTTGTCAACTGCAGATTCATGCTGTGAACCACCTGTTCTACCACATCCCAAAAGTGTTCTATTGGATTCAGATCCATTGACTAGCCTATCATCTGTATGTCTCAGCAGAAATTGAGAATCATCACACCAGGCTAAATTTTTTCTGTTTTTAACTGCGCAGTTTTATTGTACCTGTCTCCAGTGCAGTCTCAGCTTTCTGTTCTGGGCTGACAGAAGTGAAACCCAACATGGTCTTCTGCTATTGTGGCCCATATGCCTCAAGTTTCATCATTTTGTGCATTCTGAGATGCTTTTTGCTTACCATTTGTTGCCAATTTACCCTTCACTGCCATCTGTACTGCATGGCTTTCTGCTGATCATCTAATATATAACATGTCAAAAAATACAAAGTTGGTTCACACCTTTCTTATAAGTTATCTCAGCATACAGCGCAAACACATGCATGCAAATGCCTAAATCTAAATAAAACAATTTTATACAAACAAATAATAATGGAAAAGATCAGTTACTAAACAAACTTTCCAAATATAATTTAAAATACATTTTACTAAATACAACTATAGTTTCCATTTCAGGGTGATTAGAAACATTCTTTTGAATGAGCATCATCCATTTCACAGTGCGGCACTGGGTCTGTGGTTAATAAGTACTATCCTTGTCGCACTCCTTACCGATATGTCCCTTGTAGTGGGGGGTGCTCGCAGTGACTGCGGATGACGCCGCGAATGTCAACAAAATTGTAGAAATGTCACCAGCACACCAGTCCTTTTAAGATAGCAAAAGCTTCATTTATTTAAGTTTTTTGTCATATGACCAAACAACTGGGTCTGTGGGGGCACAGTGCGGAGCTGGGTCTGTGGGCCCAAGTACTCGTGAAAATGCCCTGTATCTGCATTGATACCGATGCTAGTATCGGTATCGGTGCACCCCCAATATTTTGGCCTTATAATAGTTCTATACATCATACAGATGCGCCACTTTACTGACCGTAAAGTGGCGCATCTGTATGATGTGTAGAACCTGCTGAAGCAAAAATTACATTTATATACATTTTATTGATATTTATATAGAACTCTAATATATACAGAAGTCTGATCTACAGAAGTCTGAGATATATATATATATATCTCAGACTTCTGTAGATCAGACTTCTGTATATATTAGAGTTCTATATAAATATCAATAAAATGTATATAAATGTCATTTTTGCTTCAGCAGGTTCTATACATCATACAGATGCGCCACTTTACGGTCAGTGAAAGGAGACCCCCCAGGCACCATATATAAAGGAATTTTTTATTTTTAATGTTTCATTTTAAGTGATGTTCAATCACTGCTCCTTTAAAAATTGTATTTTTTAAAAGTGTTTTTTTCATTGATACATGTCCCCCAGGCCAGTACCCGGATCCCCATACACTTTTTATGGCCAATTAATTGCATATAAGGCTTCAAAATGGGGACATTTAATTTTCTGAGTTCTACCCCCATAGACTTGCATTGTGTTCTAAGTTCGAATTAGAACTTTTTCCATGTTCGAAAGTTCGAGTTAGAACCGAACACGGGGGTGTTCGGCTCATCCCTACTACCCAACTGCAATAGAAAATAACCAGGTCGACCAATTGGATTTGCTGTCTGCATTAAACTGCAAAGTGCTTACTGCATAAAATTTCAAAGTAATTTTCATCATGCTGTTGAAAAAGTGTAAATGATCTAGGGCAGGGGTAGCCAAACTCCGGCCCTCCAGCTGTGGTGAAACTCCAAATCCCATGATGCATCTGCCTCTAGAAGTCATTCTGTGGCAGCCCGATTCTTGCAATGCCTCGTGGGATTTGTAGTTCCACCACAGCTGGAGGGCTGGAGTTTGGCTACCCCTGATCTAAAGCATATTGACAAGGAGTGGTAGAAAAATATAGTTCTAAATTGTATATTAATTAATAAAAGTTTATCAATTACAATGCATCACTTGTTCACTTGGAATTGTATAAAATATCTGCATTTATTTAACCTATATATTTGTATGCAGTCATTGAAAAAGATGAAGACAACGATCTTTCACTTGTGGAACTGAATCCTCCAAATCCCTGGGATATGGATCCAAAGGTTCCAGTAGACTTGGAAGTGGGAGAGTTACAGGTATGCTTGATATTTTTTTTTATAAAATTACATTTTTAGAAATGGCTATTTAGCATTTTCAGTTTTTCTTTTTTGTTTATGTGACCATCAGTGCTGTTCTACTTTATGCATGAAAGTTGCTGTTCATTGTCACTACGGATTTAGATATGCATTTTATTCCTACTTCTAGAATTTACATGTGCTAAGTTAAATATGTCACAAACCTGAGCAATTTAAACTTGAAATAATGAGCGGACAAGCCGCAACGGCCGATGTTTTTAGTTTTTTCACCATTCTGACTACACTCTAAAGACTGTTGTATGTGCAGAACTTAAGAGTTGGGCAGTTACAGAAATACTCAAACTAGCAGGCCTGGCACTAACAATCAGTCCACAGTCAAAGTCAGATCACATTTTGACTTTTTTAATCCTTTCTGGTGCTATATGTGAACATTAACTGACCTATTTTTGCATGATTGTATGTATTGCGCTGTTGTCACATAATTGAATAATTAGATATATTGTCTTTAAAAAAAAAATATATTCTATTTTACCAACTCAGGACTGAAAAGTTCAATATCGATTTATGGGAAAAACAATTCTTCACATTGTGCTTTATTTTTAGAGAATGTTGAAATCTATTTTATTGATCTAGCACTGACTAAATGCACACCATTTTATGGAAAACACAGAAGCCTGTACATTGTTCCTTAGAAAAATTAAGGATTCAAGTCCTGTGTGACAGCGCTTTCCTGGGGGATGGGTGGTTCTGACTTTCTCAGAACTTTTAGTTGAGTGGGGGCTGTGTGGAGGAAGATGGTATTGAGGTGGGGGTGGCGTGCGGCTTCAGTTCAATATGGACCGGGGGTGTCCAATTGGTATGGGTGAAAAACAGAAAAAACAGAGTCTGAGGCGCAACTGCCCTTGGGGCTGAACAGGTGAGAGTATAGCGGGAGTTACATGGGCTAGGGCATGCAGGGTTAATGCTGCCCGAGAAGCAATTACGTCGGTATTTTTCCCTCCGTGATGTAATAAGTATGAGGGGTGGAGGGAGAAATAAAAACAAAAAAGGTGCACATGAAATGGAGGCAAGTTGAGCGGTGTGTAGTGCGTATATCAACTCACCTTGAGGTTCTTGAGGAAGTGTAGTCATCGACGACGGGATTCCTGTTGGAGGCAGCGTCCGGCAGTCTCTTCTGGGACTGGGTGCAGGGACTTTAGTTGCAGAGTCGAGGTGCGAATCTGTCGGATGCCTGTGTATGGGACGTGCTGCTGGGTTGCGATGGCTTGGGTGTGCATCCGTCCTTCACGCTGTTTCGGCGGAGCTGGAGCGTCTGGGGGACGTCAATCACGTCCTATGTTTGAGGAGATCTGGTTCGCTGGCGGGTGAGGGACGCCGATCGCGTCCTGTGTTGGAGAGAGAGAGAGAGCTTGCGGTGCGGGCAGTGGCTCTCCGTACGAGGTTGAAATGGGTGACGAGGTGGCAGGCGCCGCCGAGCGACGGCGGTCGTGGTGGTCCAAAATTAGATAGGACGCTTGTGGTAGTCTTGGCAACGCGTTTCGAAGATCACGTCTTCTTTATCAAGCCATGGTAGGATAGATTGATGTGGCGGGAATCTTTTAAAGGGTGGGGGGTGTGGTTAGGGCTTGTGGGCCGTCCTGGGTGTGTTTTATAGGATATTAGCATAGTGCATGTGGCTCGTGGTTGACCCCTTGTGGGTGTTTTGAATATGACATGAAGAAAAAAGTACAGTCACAAAATGACAAGACTGGGCTAGAATGAGAAGTGGTTACCGATTTGCATTAGTGTTAAATGATGGTACTGATTTCTAAATCTTCGTTGAGGCCAGAAGGAGATAATGTGTTCAATTTATAGATCCAATACGTTTCTTGCCTGCACAGTTTATGGAATCTTTCTGTTGCATGCAGGTTTTTTGGGATCTGTTCGATTACAAAGACCTGTAGGAGTTTGATTTTTTTTTGGTGCTTATGGAGGAAGTGACGAGGGACGCTATGTTCGGTGTTGCCTTTTTCTATGAACCTATGCGCTTACGTAGGGGGCGGATGGTGCGGCCTATATACAGCAGGTTGCAGGGGCATCTTAGGCCATACACCACGAAGTCATGGTCGCAGGTGACGAATTGGTGTATGTGGAATTTGTTACCGTAGCTGTCTTGAAAGGAGTTTTGACCGTGTGTGATGAACTGGCAGGTTAAACAGAGGAGTTTTTTGCATTTGTGGACCCCTGTCCTGTTGTCAAATAAGAAGGTTGTGGTTTTGTTTTTCTTGATTGATAATTTACTTGGTGCCACTATGTTTTTGATGCTTTTGGCTCTTTTAAATACTACTGTGGGTTTCTTAGGGAGTATAGAGCCTAGTTTGGGGTCACAAAGGAGCAAATGCCAGTTCTTTTTTAATATGGACTCGATGGCCTTGAATTTGCTATTGAAAGGTGTGATAAATCTTGCCGTATCTTTTTGTGTGTGGTGTTTAGTTTTATTGTTCGGTACTCTGTTTTGTGTCAGGAAGCTTTCTTGGGCCTTGGTTATAAGATCCTTAGGGTAACCTTTCTCGATGAATTTATTCTTGAGGTGGAGGCTTTGTTTCAGGTTGTCATCCTTTTCTCGTGCAGTTTTTGTTTAGTCTCCAGAACTGTCCCTTGGGGACATTCCGTTTCCATAAGGGGTGGTGGCAACTATCGTAATGTAAATATGAATTGCCGGCAGTGGGTTTGAAGTGTGTAGTGGTGACTATGGTCTTGTCACTATGGGTGAGTTCCAGGTCCAGAAAGGTTAATTTTAGATTGTCCAGGACATGTGTGAACTTGAGGCCAAGAGGGTTACTGTTGCAGTGTGACACAAAGGCACTGATGGTATCGGGGGGTCCGTCCCAAATGATGATGATGTAATCTGTGTACCGGCCGTAATATGTCAGGTGAAAAGGGGTTGTTTCGCCAAATGTGAAAGTACTCCCAGTAACCCATGGTTAGATTTGCGTAACTGGGGGCATAATTGGCTCCCATGGCTGTGCCCTGGGTTTGAAGATAGAATTTGTCGACGAACGAGAAATAGTTATGTTCGAGTGTGAATCTTGTTGAGTTCAGAATGAATTGCGCCTCAGACTCTGTTTTTTCTGTATATTGTTCCTTGTCTTTTATAGACTCATTTAATCTATTTTACTAACATTGCACAAAATATATTTTGGATCACTTTGTTAAAAACCCAACCCTGACATGGGTTCGGCCTGTGCTTCCATCTTCCTTCCTGTAAGCAGGGCCGCCGTCAGGGGGGGTACGGCTGATACTCATGTAAGGGGCCCGCCCGGGGACCCATACATGGGTATCGGCCGGTGAAGGGGGCG